CATCACAGAACACAGAGGATTCAAAGGTTTTCCCTCAAACTATTTCCACTGGCATGTGTCCTAATGGAGTTCTCAGAAATGGGAAAAAAAATCCATTCCAACAGTCTAATCAATCTCTAGAGGATGGTTTATAAGAAGAAATTCAAGAAATATCAGCTCTCTTCTCATTCCAAAGAAATATTCAGAGCAAAGAACATAAACACACTAGCCTGGTTATATATGATAAAAGTGACCAGTATAGTACTGACCCTTGCCAAAGAATCCTGTTATGGATAATTCCATACAAAGGGCCCAAAGTGCAAGATACTTTTCACAAAATGTGGGTGACATGGTCCTTAACCGAAGAGATATTACCATTATTATTGTTAGAAGTAAAGTTCACATTTATGCTTACACGGAATCATTTTTCAAGGAGCACAAAAAGCTCTGGAAATACCATTTACTTAAGTCATTATGATATTCCTACGAAGCTGTGGCATGTTACCAATAGTCTGGGTCCCTAACTAAATTATACCTAAGCCCCTTCCGACGTACCCCTGCCAGAAACCACCGAGCTCATCCCTGCCCGGGGAGTTCGCTTCTGTTGCTGCACGTGAGCTAGAGATGCAGTTCATCAACAGCTGCACGGCTACCAGCCGGAAGAGGCAAAATCCAGCACAACTGCTCAAGTCCCTGTGGTGAAGAACCTTGGGATGCTGGGTCTTCTTCCTTATAATCCACTAAACTGGCCCCAACTGCATCTTCTCTCGCCTCTTCTAGGGTAAACAGTAACTTGAACTATGTTAAGGGGTCAGTTTAAAAGACAGAAACCAACTGGATCCAGGAGATAGGATGGTGAAGAAATAAAAATGGGTTTTAACTTTCTTTTGGGCAAATGGGTACATGGGACAAATAGAAGGTTGGGGAGTAGGTGTGGGTAATTAGTTGGGTTTGGGACGCACTGTGTTAGGATACTGCAGGCAATCCAAATGGAATAAGTAGGTAGAGAGCTGAATATAAGATATTAAGCCTGAGTGAATGATATGACTGGAAATAAAGGTTTAAGGAGCAAGACATTCACAGGCAAGGACTGATATGCTTTATAGTTTGAATGACTGTGAAAAATTAGCACAAACTTTTGCTTCTCTAAAGAACAATATTTTCAAAGGTCTATGCCCTGGACCAACAGCACCTGCCTGACCTGGGAGCTGATCAGGTGTGGAACCTCCATCCACCATACATCTACTGAATCAGAACCTGCGTGTTCACACACCAGAGGACTCAGGGGCCTATTAGTTTGAGACCCACTGGTGTAGTGTTCCCCAAACTCTGGTTCTTAAAATGTTCACCCATTTTCAGCAAATGAGAAAAAGAAAAATACAAACATTAAACATAATAAATGCATTCAATTTAGAGAAATGTCCTTTATCCCGATGTTATATGCTTCCTTTGTGGACCTTGTTTACATGCCCTGTCTTTTATGAAATTAAGGTAATGGCTATCTTGGTGATTTCTCTAATAGTAAGTTATTTTATACTTTCCTGGTACCACATCACTTGAGCGATGTTATTTCCTTTGCCTAAAATATCCTCCTTACTCTACCTCACCTATTAAGCCCCAATTTCTCCATGAGTCATACTCTAACTACCAAAGTCTATGTATTAGTTTCTTAGGGCCGCCATAACAAAATACCACAGACTGGATGGCTTAAAACTAGAGAAATTTATTGTCTAACAGTTCTAGAGGCTGGAAGTCTGAAATCAGGTGTCTGGAGGGCCATGCTTTCCCAGAAGGCTCTAGGAAAGGATCCTTCCTTGCCTCTTCCTAGCTTCTGGTGATGGCCAGCCATCCTTGGTGATCCTTGGCTTGTAGATGTTATCACTCTGATCTCAGCCTGCATCTTTGTATCCCATTCTCTCTGCATATGTCTATGCCCAAATTTCTCTCATCTTACAAGAATACCGGTCATTGGATTAGGACCTACCCTAATCCAACAGGACCTCACCTTAACCTGATTATTTTATGCCTATTTCCAAATAAGGCCACATTCACAGGTACCTGGGGTTAGGACCCGAACATATCTTTTGGGGGATACAATTCAACCCACAACAGTCGATAGTGATATATTTTTAAAAGAAAATCTCTTGATAATTCTCCAAATTATGTGGTAAATACTATAATACTGTGCTTTCAAAATAAAACACAAAATAAAAAAATTAAGACTATTTTGTAATAAAAATCAGCACAAGACTCATCATTTGTGTTCCTGTTTTACAAACTGTGTTCCCTGTAGAAAGCATAAACTCCAAAGTGCAGAGATTTATCTTAGATTTTTCCCTGGTGGTAGACTGCTTTAGTCCTTACTTTTTTTTTATTTTTCCTAGCACTTTTGGCACCACTTATATTTTTTAGCTCCTTTCTGACCATCATTGCTTGGTACTACCCACTCAATTTGTTAACTCTGTCTCACAAGTCTTGATGTCAGGAATTACTTAGGGCCAATTTCTGACCTCCGAAGTCTTAGATGGCTGGAGTTCCTCAGGAGGTTCTAAGCCATACTAATTGGCCAAGGCTTTAAGAATGCTGTGAATCTGACAATATTTGGGAAACACTGTTTCGTTCAGAGATATTCAGATCCAGCGTTTCAATCTGAAACCTATCTACGATTTCAATTTTGTATTACAATATTATATACAGTATTCAATATCATATACAGTATTCAATATTATATACAGTATTCAATATTATACATAGTATGTGATTATACAGTTTCAAGGCAGCAAAATGTTGACTACTACTCAGTCTATGGGAGGTGAAATATTGCCTTAATATGCTAAAAAACAGGTAGATATAGCTCATTAATGGTACTCTGTAAGCACTGGCTCTTTATTTTTCATCCTATCCCTGTCAAGCTACAGAGCCTCCTTTTCTGGAAGAGAAAATGACCATCGAGCACAAAGGAATTTAAAGGTTAGGCACACATTCCTTTGTCAGCTATCTAAGAGGCAAATGTTTTACTTTTGGGGGGAACAGTGCTGTGCAAATATGGTCAATGATAAACAAAGGTGACAGCTTAGGACTTTTGGTTGATTCTTATTTTAGGTTCGCAATTTCAACTGCCATATTTGCTGTTTCTAAAACTAATTTTCTATTCCATTAGTTTCCTCTAATTACCTCTATTAGAGGAAAAGATGAAATTGCAAGTAAAAAAGTAAAAACATTTGGGAGGTATCATGACATAAGAATACTGTTGGCTAAAGCCTTTTGATCATTATTGAATCAGTTAATCTGTGGTGCTCAAAAGTTCAATTAACTATGTCTAAAGTGAAGTAGAGATATGTGCTATTTTGTCAAGGTTATTTCATATAAGACAAATGAAAAAGCTTTATCTCCCAAACTCTTCCAGTCCTTTCTTACTAATTCATAATCCCCACTTGGTTTTCTTATTTAGACTTTCCACCCCTCCCTAATGCTCTTTATCCAGGTTAAAGAAAAAAAAAAGTGTGGGGTAAGGAGCTTGAAAATAAAGTACAGCCAAAAATTGCTAGAAAATGTATTTTCTTTACAAAATCTGACTGTGGTTCTCTATAGGGAGAACCAGATCACATGGATGCACAGGACCATGTGCAGCCCTGACAACACAAAAAAACGCTATCGACTTCCTGGAGGATTTCCTAAGCCTTCTAGGAATAGATGTAAGGCCCCAAGCGGCACCAAGAACAGGGCAAGCGCAAGTCACAGGAGGGGCTGAAGGTGAAGCCAATGCACTGTGACCTCACCCCTCTTAGAAGAAAGGTGGAAACCTTCCAAAGGCCCTCTCTGCCTCCCCCTCACCCTTGTCCCACTGTTTAGGCTCCCATTTCGGAGCTCCATTTCTCTCCGACGCTGTCTGGCCCTGGGCATCCGCTGTTCCTCCATGCTGACTGGTTACTACCTCCTCGGCTCCCCAGTCTGGTCAGGTTTCCTTCTAATATCCTTTCCTAGAGCACACTCCTTTAGAACTCCTGCCCGGAGTTTTAAGCTACTCATTCGTTAGTGTCGTGACGGCATTAACTCTGTATCCCCCACTAGACTGCATGCTCCGAGACCAGAAACACGCCTGTTGTGTTGCCTGCAGTGTGGACAGCGCCTCCTAGTACCCTTCCGGCTCCATCATGCCATTCCACGCCTATTTGTTGACCGAACAGCAAGCAGGCCAGCACAAGTGATCTGAGTTCAGGTACATACTTTTGAACTTGAACCTCTCCCTGGGATTGTAAAACTCCCAAAGTCTTGATCTGAGAATGCACACATCTGAACAAGTGATTAGAGACTGGTAAACATCTCCTCAAGCCTGATGCAAAGGAGACGTGTAAGATATTATTTATTTTTACCACGCAGGGCTAAAACAAAACAAAACAAAAATACAGTAAGTGAATTGGGAAGGCTTTCGATTACTCAAAATTTATTTGTGGAGACCCCTCCAGGGGTGGCTGTTTTAGGGGAAGCAAAGATTAAATAGATAGGGCTCTGCTTCCAGGGTGTTTATGGTTTTAAAAAGGCACATTTAGTCCCCAAAAGGACTAAAAGCCCGAGAGACTGAGAAACAGAGAAATAAATGAGGCGAGAGGTCTCCGAAGGAAGGCATGGATTAGTCTATCGATTACTTCTCATTGCAATCCCAGGGCGAAGAAAGGAATTCCAAACCAGGAAAGGTCAAGCTGGAATATTCGGGGAACACACTGAAATGCAGGCGTCGCCCTAAGTCCTTCACATCCCTCGCTGGGGACAACATCGCAGAGAAAAGTCTTAAACTGGCTTCCCAAACCCTGAGCTATTGAAATTGGACTAAGAAAGGGAAAATCCCAAGGATGCGAGCGCGGAGGAAACTTGAAAAAGCAGGTCACGTAAATACTACACACAGCCCGGCCCCCGCGGCCCCCGCGCCCCCCCGACCCCCCGGCCCCCCGCGGCCCCCGCGCCCCCCCGGCCCCCGCGGCCCCCGCACGCCGCCGGGCGCCTGGCCCCGGCCGGCCTCGTACCATAGGTTTCGGACATGGCCGTCTGCGACATCTTGGGAGCGGCACCGCCTCTCGCCCGGTCACCGGCTGCAGTTCGGGCCGGGCCGGCGGGAGGGGAGGGTCGGGGTCGTCCTCCGCGTCTCGGTGGGAGCGGCGTGGGGCAGGGGACCGGAGGAGGGAGGGGCCGCGGTGCCTACGGCAACCGCCGGCCACCCCGCGGCTGCGGCCCTGCCGGACTGCCGGCTCCGCGCAGGCGCACGGCCTCCACCCCCAGCCGGGCCCGGACGAGGACGGGGAGGAGGAGGAGGAGGAGGAGGAGGAAAGGGGGCGCGAGGCCCGGCCCCCGCCATGGTCGCGCGTGCGCAGGCAGCCCGCGGCGGGTGCTAGGCGCAGGGAGGCCGGGCCGGGGGCTGGGGGCGCCGGGCGCGGGGAGGCGAGGGAGGGACCTGGCGCACGGGGAGGGCGGGGCGCGGACGGAGGGGTGCGGCTGGCTAAGGTCGGGTTGCAGGGGTGGGGAGGGGCCTGCCTTCCGTAGGCTTGGGGTGACGGAGCGTTGGGGACAGCGGGGTCTAGCTCTTGGATAGAGGTGGTCCTGCCCGATTGGCCCTCCTCAGTAAAGACTTCGTCGTCGTCCTGAGCAGCTCTCAAGCAGGAAAAGACTGCCTTCCATAAAGACTACGTTTACGATCAATCTGGGAACGTGGTTAATGTGTAACTAGGAGGCAGTAGCCCCAGGTGTCCAGCTAGACATCAGCCCTGTGGGCGAGGAGGCTGGCTTACCCGCGGTGAAACAGCTTTCACTCAAACCTTCCAGGCCCTCTCCCGTAGGGCTAGGGCTGGTGTCTGGAGAAAACTATCAGAAGCTTAAGGTGCGCTGGTGCTGGAGAATCCCCCAGAAGACCGTAGACATTGGCCCCTCTGCAGCCCGCCGTAGGGGAATCTAGCTTATGGGCAGGAAGCATCTCCTGATCCTCAACTACGGTTAGGAGTTGTTGGCTGGGTATTTTGATTTAAGGCACAAAACTGAATTCAGAAGCCCCTTCTGCTGGAAATGCAGAGATAAACATTTAGTAGGAAGAGAATTTTGGTTGGGAGTTTGCTCCCTCTGAGCAAGATCAGGGCCACATCGTATCTCGTAAGACCCAACTTTATTCAAAAGATACAGTAGAATACTAAACATATGCCTTGGCTAAGCTCCTAAGTAACTTGGACTGTGGGGAAATGCTAGTAAATACATTTTTTTTTCTAGTCCATTTGGCTCCATCCTCCACATAAATTGGCATCAGATTTCACTGAGGCCTTCCCCCCTTCCCCAGCGGCCATTTGGCTTTACATTTTATTCTTTCTGATCCTAATAGCAAATAAATATATCCTTGCTTCTAAATGACAGAGAAGGCCCCATGCTGAAATATTGTGAGAACTATAATTTCCTGGAATTATTTTGTATATGCTTCTTGTTCAATGGCTGAGATACTTTGTTGCTTTCTTATTTGGTTTTCTGCGTGTTAGTTTTAATTTACACTACTGAGTATAGCAGGCTAATCTGATTCAAACGATTTCAGAAGAAAGACAGGGATCTCATTCTTTGGATCTAAGTTTTCTTCCTGCCAGAAGCTTCTGTGGGTAAGAAAGGAGTCACTGCATTACAGTGATTGCTGGGGTTATTGACTGAAACTGGACCTCAAGGTCTCTGAAACCTGGACAGAGTGATAGAAATAAAAATTAAGCTGCTATTTCAAAGCTGAGAACAGTTTTCTATTCTGAGGACCTTTGGGGAAAACTCTTTGTTTTGGAAAAACTACCCAAAGAAATCATTTAGTTTGCAAATAAAAAGCCAGATATCACAACTGGAAAAGGAAATACTTGAGCTGAGATTTGGAGGAGCTAAGTTTTTTGAATAATAATGTGAAAGGTCCTTTGCCTCCTAGTTACTTTGGATCTTTGAGAGAAAATAAATTTATCCTAAAAACTCTCAGAGACCACTCTGATTCTGAGGTGCTGTTGATTGTGTGAAAGGAAAACTTATTGCAAAATTAGTGTTTTCTTCAGTTATTGACTCCCTTCTCTTTAGGGGAGGTGTGTGATAGAGTAAAAGTAGGTTTCCATAAGCCTAAGCACATTGGAGATTTGTCTACAGGAAATGAAGGGAGAAGGATTTCTTCCAAAATAGATCCACTCAACCTACCCACTCCTCCTTAGGTTGGTGGGTCCTGCAAGTTGCTGATACTTTTCCTTTTGTCACATTTAGTGACAAATTAGGAACCTCAGGGGGCTGCCAGCCTCACAAGGGTTCCTGTTCCCCAGGACCGGCAGAGGACCACATGGGGTGGGACACAGAGGGACACAGATGGACAATGACTGAGGGGCCTTTTAGACTCCTAGGCATAGGGTTGGACCCAGAACAGTTGGTCCTCGGAATGAGAATCCAGCACAAACTTGATGTTCCAGAAAGCAGTGGCATTGGGAATGAAAGAACGTGGCATCCTCAGCTGAACTAGACTTGGTGGAGAGCACTCGTCACGGTCTATGAGGCATGGTGACTTTACTAGGTGGCTAGAGTTGAAGAACATTAAGCCTACTGTGTCTGAGTCCTCGAGGACTCAGAAATATCTGGGTGTTACTTAATGAAGGAGCCAAGTTCTTCCCAGGTAGGTAGAGGCTTGAAAAGGTGACGTCAGTTAAACACCCAAGCTGGTGACACCTGTGACATGTAACTCTTCAGTTGGAAGAGACCTCAGAGGCCACTGGACCAGTTTGCTTTCCAGGGTCATCCAAAATTACCACCTCTGTAATTGGACACATCCGTTATTAGGGAATATTTGGTCAGGAGGGGCTAAATTAGCTGCAGTAACAAAGATCTCCCAACATGCTCATGACTAACACAAGAAGTTCATCTCTCACTCAGACCACCTGCCCCACTCATGCTGGCTCCATATGAGCACTCATAGACCCAGGCTGACCCAAATCTCATGGAAACACACTCCCACCATCACTTGGGCAGGAGAAGAAACCAACACTAATGGTGCATCAGCTCAGGATGATCCCATCAAGGGTGGGTAGAATCACTTCTGTTTATATTTTATGGGCCAAAGCAAGTCACGTGCCCACACCTGATTTCAAAGAGAACAGAGAGTGCAATATTGTTATGTCCCAGAAGGAAAAGAGAAGAGGTTGTATTTGGAAAGATGTGATGACTACCATAGAACTTTGTACCTGTCCAGACAGCTTATTCTGCTTTGATTTTAAACGGCTTCATTGAAGTGTAATTGACATAGTTGCACATATTTGAAGTATACACATGATAATTTTTGGTACAGGTGTATACCTCTGCTTGCTGCTACTGGGATGGCATTACTTTTGGCCTTTTTAGTGGACAGAGACATTTTCTATGATTCCATTTTATCTTCTTTGTTGCTGGTTAGGAATAACTTCTTGTAAGGTTATTTTAGTGGTTGTTTTAGGGTTTGTGGTATAGGTTTTTAACTTGTCACATGGTCCACCTGTATGTGCCATGCCATTTTATGTAGAGTATAAGAACCTCACAACACTTTACCTCCATCCTCCCCATTAACCATGCTGTGGAAGTCCTACTTCTACATGTGTGGTACACCTCACATACTCTGTTGTTATTTTTGTTTTAAACTGCCAATTCTCTTTATAAAATTGTGGTAAAATATGCATAACATGAAATTTACCATCTCAACCATCTTTGTGTGTGCATTTCAGTGACATTGAATACATTCACTTTGTTGTGTAACCACCCATCTTCAGAACTCTTTTCATCTTGCAACCTGCAACTGTCTCCATTAAACACCAAATCCCTGCTCCCCCCTCATCCAAGCTCTTGCAACCACCATCCTATTTTCTTTGCCTGTGATTTTGAAACTCTAGGCACCTCAATATGAATGGACTCATACAGTATCTGTTCTTTTTTGTGACTGACTAATTTCCCTTAGCATAATGTTCTTAGGGTTCATCTGTGTTGTAGCCTCTCAGAATTCCTTCCTTTTCAAGGATGAATAATATTCCCCTACATATATACCATATTCCCATATATATATGTATATATATACCATATTTTCCAGAAAATTCTCTTCTAAATAGATTTAAACAAGTATTTTATATTTACCCACATACTTACCATGTCTAGGATGCCTTCGTCCCTTACGTAGATTCAAATTCCATGTGGTATCATTTCCTTTTTGCTGGAAGTAATTCCCTTAGCAGATCTCGAAGGGCAGGTCTGCTGGGGATGAATTCTTTCTGCTCTCATATATCTAAAAAAGACTTTATTTCATTTCTGTTTCTTTTTTAAAGATTTTATTTATTTATTCGTGAGAGACAGAGACAGAGACAGACAGAGAGAGAGAAGCAGAGGGAGAAGCAGGCTCCCAAGGAGCAGGGAGCCCAATGCGGGACTCAATCGCAGGACCCCGGGGTCATGACCTGAGCCGAAAGCAGGCGCTTAACCATCTGAGCCACCCAGGCGCTTCATTTCTGTTTTTAAATGGTATTTTTCTTAAGTTTAGATTTCTAAGTGAGCAGTTTTTTTCTTCTTCTAACACAATGTTTTCTGGCTTATATGTTCTGATGGCCATTCTTCATTCCTTTGTACACAGTGTTTTGTTGTTTTTTTTAAATATCTGCCTTTTTAAAAGATTTTATCTTTATTACCGGTTTATGGATTTCAGCTATGATGTGCCTTGGTGTGGTTTTCTTCATGGTTCTTGTCCTCATGTTCCATTAAACTTCTTTGGTCTGTGAATTTATAGTGTTTATCAGATTTGGATTGTTTTTTCAGCCATTATTTCTTCAAATATATTTTCTGCCCCTCCCTCTATTCTCCTCTGGTGACTCCAACACACATATACCAGGCCACTTGAATTTACCCCACAGCTAACTGATGCCCTGTTAATTTTTGCCAATCTTTTTTTCTTCCTGTGTGTTATTTTAGATAATTACTATTGTCATACCTTTAAATTCACTAATCTTTTCTGCAATATTTAATCTCTTAATCCCATCCATTATATTTTCCTTTCAGACATTGTAACTTCATTTCTAGAAGTTCAATTTGCATATACATATATCATGTTCAGTACTTACTCTCATTCTCTCCTTTAGCTTCTTGAACATAGAGAATACGTTGTAATAATGGTTTTAATATCATTTTCTACTAATTTTATCATCTGAGGAATTTCTGAGGCAGTTTCCATTGATTGGCTTTTCTCCTTGTTGTGAGCGGTATTTTTCTATTTT